AGTTGTACCTAAGTTTGACATCGTCGTTCTGTATTTATTCTCTATATATGACATCCTGGAAAAGTAGTTTGTGATTGGCAAGGTTATATATATTTTTAACATTGTATAGCAGTTCGGGAATACGTCGACAAGCTTCTTTTCATAAATAATCGTAAAAATGTATACGCAAGACGAGTAGGACTCTGTCGACTGAAGCAACTGAGTTTTTAATTGAATGCATTCTTTGACTAAATATTCATCCACGTCATCGCGATAATAACCGTATATAACCGTCAATAACCGTACGGGCGCTTTCGTTTGATAGAAATGCATATAATGCAATGTTATAAATAATTAAAAATGATAAATAATGGTACTTATAAATAATTCTTGCAAGATAGAAAGAGACAGACTGGGAGGGAAAAAGCGGGGCACGATTGAGATGAATGTGTAATGGCAGCGGAACATTTTAACTGCCAGTTCGAAGTACCAACACCTGAAAGTAGACTTCAATTTAATGAATTGAATGGGTTTAATTAATTGCAATGTTCACAGGGCTGCAAACTATACAATCTGTTTAATTTAATAAAATTATGGATTCTTTTGCATTAGCGTCTATTTTTGACTAAACATGACTTAGCTGGGGGGCCCTTGCATCCATGGGGCCCTGGGCTGAAGCCCAATAAGCCATATGGTAGATCCGGCCCTGCTTTTGATGATAATTTTAATGAGTCATATAAATACCTATAACTAGTAGGATAGGATTCTTATAAAAACCGGCAATAATTTGTCGCCGACAAGCTCTTGAAATCATGAAATATCAACGCCCCTAGCTTATTTATTATAAAAGCTCAGCGATCACTCCATACCACTTATCCACCTGATGGTATGTCGATGACAATATCGACAAATAGGCCAAGTAAACGTGGCCAGTGTGGGTAGGTAACGTTTCTAAACAAAACCTTTTTCTTGATCAAACAAACATTGATCTACTAAGCGATCGCTTTGATGATTATATAAAATAGCACTGTAGAGGTACAATAGCGAAGGGTCTAATTGGCGAACCACGACGCAATTGTTTTGGGATGCGAATTGATGCGGTAATGATTGTGCCGACCTTAGCCCGCTTACATAGAACTTGGCAGCTGACTGCATCCGCTGAATTAGATCTCAAAACTCTTGAACTAACACCGCTTTCTTAACAAAGCGAAATGGAATGCAAGAAAGAAAAAAGCGCAGTCATTAACGTTCCCCATGTGTCTCGGGATGATATTACCACCCAATTTCCTCTCAAAAAGTCTCCCTGAGAATGCATTAGCTTTACAACTTTATGACATGGAGACGATACGTATCCGACCGCGGTACGACTTTGTGGTTTACGAAAAAGGTCACAGTTGTTTCTGAACATGGTAATTTTCTATATTTAAATTATGGGTTGCTATTTTGCGATAAGTACCTACAACCAAGCTAGCATGGCGTTACAAGGTCAGATGGTTCATTGAACTTTGTTTAATTTAATATTACCTACACATTTTTTAAACCCACCAATTAGTGGCCATTTTTTGCTGCAAATATTTTAATTACCTTAGAGTTTATTATATTTTTTAGTTTTAAGCATTTAACTGCTAGATTTATAAATCTAAAGAAAATATATCCCATCTGATGCCTGGACCGCGTGGAATTATCCTAGTAAATATATCCTTAGAGTTGTTTGAACTATACGGTGCATTCAGGTCTGGTGTGCAAAGATTTCCGTCTAGTCCTTGCACTCACAAACAATGGGCACAATAATTTACATCGAGACTATTGTTTCATGGGTAACTTTTGTGTGGTAAATAAATGTATTCGAAATGCATTTGACTGAATACCAATAGAATTAACTTAATATGCAGGCTTTTTACATCTAAATATAGCTAGTTTCTAGTAAGTATATTGAACTTATATACATTCCACCTACCCTGTTGCATACCATATTGCATAAAACTGCGCTGGAGAATAAGGCCGGGTATTCATTAGGCAACATTTGTTGATAAACTGTTTATGAAGTTGATCACCTTGTTTAAAAACAAGTTCACTGTTGTTTCTGAAACTTGGCCGTCCACACTTGTCAGTATGTCGCTATGTCTCTTGAGTAGGTAGTGTTGCTCTGCGCTGCTTGCGTAGTAAACATAAGTTTCATGAGAGAACTAGAAAAAAATGAAAAGGTTATATATTATGATGAAATTTAACGAATATACCACCGCCATTTGTATTTAATAACTTCCTCAGCACCGTTTCCAATTTTTTTATGGATGGCTAAGTTTTTTCTTTATCCGAGGCAGGGTACATCTTTGTTTCTACATACTTCTTTTTGTGACATATTCAGTTCTGCAGCAATCTCGGCTTAAGCAACTTTTTTTATTATTTAATCCTTATAATCTTTATTTGAAGCATTCTAAAGTAGTTGCTATGTATCCCTAAAAGCTCTATGAGCATCGAGACTTGGTCGTTAGGTTCGTTGGTTGGTCGAATGACCAAGTTTCGATGCTCATAGAGTTTTTTCGGTTACGTATTCGTACTGTCACGAATTACTTCGTAAGCATCACACTACCTCCACGGACAACATCCTAGCAACAACTGACAAGTGTGGACGGTCAAGTTTCAGTAACAGTGTTTATAAACAAGGTGATCAACTTCATAAACAGTTTATCAACAAATGTAGCCTAATGAATACGTGGCCTAAGAATGCATTGTTTTTTTTTGCACCTCCACGCCAAAATATAAGCCAACAGAACGAGTGGGATTATAGGATATTATCCTTATTCGTATATTGTTTATGTGCAGATAGCGATCGAGTTCAAATAAATAATAATTGCTATGAATAAATTAAAATTTTATTGAGACTTGACAGGCATAAGTGGTTTTTATATTTTATCATTTACTTAATTCGTTACATGTTTAAATACGTTCAATCTACTAAAGTAAGTTTTGCGATATTGATAAATTTTAATTGAGCATGAATTTGTATTAATAGAATTCAATAATTACGCTCAGGTACACGCAGTAAGGCCAATGCTCTAATTCGAGCACTTACTAATGCAAATCAGAAGAGACCTCAGCTCGCTTATTAATAACCAGGGTCTTGTGATTGGATGCGCCCGCGCACTTCCCCGCGTGATTTATATAGCGACCTTCAGGCGTTGCTAACTAACATCATCAAACGACCTAGAGCGTTCACACTAGAATTCAGTACCCCTAGCACGAACCAATATCGAATTCGTATCGTTTGCGAGTCCGAAATGTCATTGTCAAATGTGTACTGATTTATAGTTCTCGTTACGTACTTTGTGCCGCTGCTGTTCAATTCAATTCAATTTTTTAGTGATTATGGCTGCGCTGCTGTTCAAGTTTCCATACAAAATTTGACATTGACATTTCGGTTTGCAAACTATTCGAATTCGAAAATGGTTCGTGCTAGGGGTACAGTACCCTTAGCACGAACCAATGTCGAATTCGTACCGTTTGCGAGTCCGAAATGTCATTGTCAAATGTGTACTGATTTTCTGTTCTCGTTACGTACTTTGTGGCGCTGCTGTTCAAGTTTCCATACAAAATTTGACATTGACATTTCGCACTCGCAAATTATTCGAATTCGGCAATGGATCGTGCTAGGGGTACAGGGTTACTTTAACACTTTAGTTATCCTATTCACGATTTAAGTAGATGTAAAATGCCTGCACTTCCGAGCTTCCGAAATTGCTTAAAAAATTAAATCCGCCTCAACCGATATACGACAAATTATTGTTTATAATAACAACCGTTTACAATATTTTCATGTTATATTTTCAGTCTTTTATGTTTCTGTACCTTAAACTGGCAAAGCTTAGGTATGGTATGCACTATGCATTTCTGTCCAACAGTTATGTTTGAAGCGTTGTCCGCAATGAAGACTTCAGTTTTAAGATGGCATGGCTAACAGTGTTGCCATACATCGCGATTTTGGCGGGCCGTCCCAACTTTAAGTGTTTATATTATACCTATAGTGTGATTCAAATAAGAATAGGAAAGCCAATGACCTCCATCTGTCAAATGTCGCTTGAAAAGTACGGTTTGCAAAAAATCTTGGAACCCTTTTTAGCACTCTGCTAATTCTAGAATAAAAACCAAACATTTGTAAACAAACAATAACAAATATTGATAATTAATATTGTTTGATATATTTTTTATTTTCATTTATTGAGCTTTGGCTATGACTAAACAAATGTCACTTTAAGTTGTGTTCATAAACTCGATTTAAAGCTTTCGTTTACATAAAGGATGCATGTTCGTATGTGACCTAGTAATAGTGCATGATTATTCATAACTTTCCGGCGGTAATGCAGAGATGAGCGGAATTGAGGAGCTAGATTCTGATTGAGTTTTTTCTCACAGTCTTATTAAATAAATATTATTAAAAATTGGTTGTTTTTTTTATAAATCTTAGTAAATAAATTTTATTAAAAAAGTCTGATGTTATAATTTTTATTTTTTAAGCATGTAACTGCTTGATGTTTTAATCTAAAGAAAATATAACAAAAAAATCGCCATCCGGGCGAATGCACTGACCAATTATGCTACCGCGGCCCTAATAGCCACGTCGACATTCTTCTGGCCATTCTTAAGCCGCAAAGCAGCGCCATCTCTTCGCACCGCAGGTAACCCATAATGCATTCGCCCGGATGGCGAGGGGTGCGGGTTAGAGTCCCGCCTGCTGCCTGGTCCGTGTGAAATTTTTTCTAGTTATATTTTCTTTAGTTTGAAATCTGATGTTTTTTCTCACTTTATCTTAGTAAATAAGTTTAATTAAATAAAAACTTTTTTTTGCTCACTCTACCTATTTGGTTTGAATCGACAGCTATGACGTCACAATATGGCGCCCAGTCGGTCCTATTCTTAGTTGAATCACATTATCGCTCTTAAAATTGTATTGGGAATACAAATCGAAAAAGTTCCTGTTTAAGGCAAAGGATTTATACAATTGAAAGTCCTTAATATCCTCATTTTTTTATTATAGAAAAATAACTGGAGCAAAAATAAAACAATATTATCTTTTAGCGGTAAACTAGTAATTATAAATATCAGGTAACATAACCAACACTAAAAAGAGTATATTATGCATTATGCAAAATGTTAATTCTTCTTAAAATAAAATAAAACTTACTTAACAACCTTCTTGAACTTAAAATGTAAGAATTATATATTTTTATATTATATCGCAGTTTTAGTTAAGAGTTAGAAGCACATAGAAAACTTTTGTTCGTCCCTATAATTTAAGTAATACATTTTATTTCAACGATGAATAAACTATTTCGTTCAATTTATAATATTCTATTCGCGATAAACATCTCACAAAGACCTCTGTTCAGGTTTACTCTCTCGATTAACAGGATTCACTTTACACGTGATTTTATATGACTCCACCATTTTGACCGAGTCGCGAACCAAGATCGTCGAACGTATAGTGAAAGAGTGAGAAAAACAGACAGTGTTGTCGCACAATGAAGTATGGAAGCTCAAGTACAGCCTATAGTGAGTCTTGTCCATCTTTTGCTTAATCTTCATCTCTACTCGGCCTGGTAATTTTGATCCTTTATGCGAACCCGAACCAACAAACTCGAAATGATCTAAAGTGACATCCTTGTTGTTCTCATCTCGTATACACACGTTCCACTCTTGCGGTGCGCCAGGAGTAAACTTTACGCCTTTGATGTCAGAGTCCAAACTGACATTGAAATATATAATGAGATTGCCGCACTTTCTGTTAACGAACAAATCATTCTTGTAAAGTATCAGATTCTCCGGTTCGACAAATTTCACGTCCTGCATTCGCACTTTGAACTCTTGGCACACGTTCTTGGCCAAGTTGATTAGTTTCACGCTGTGATTGTTGGTGTCGGCTATATACAAATATTTGCCGTCCGCAGTGACGGAGAGACCGGAGGGTTCGTTGAACTTCACCGGGTCGGCGGTCTCGATCATGCTGGGGTTGAGGGTGGTCACCTTTTGTAGGCTCACGTCGACTTTTTTTATCTTGTGGTTGTAGGAATCAGCCACGTACACTGCTTTGTTTGGTTCACTGTAGGCGACGCCGAGAGGGTGCTGGAGTTTCGCCGCCATTCCTATTTCGTCCACATCACCGAAGGCGAAAAGATTCTGAGTAAAGAAAAGAGTTTATTTTTATTTTTAGCATATTAATAAATCTAAAGGAGATTTTACGAGAAAATGAATATTTAAACGAAAATTTTTTGAAAGTTATCATACTGGAAATATGTTGTCCGGTCTGAAGTTAGTCGTTTAGATGGCCATTTGATTTGAAGGAATGAAATTACTACTGCGCAGCTAAACGACTAACTTGAGATCAGCGGAAACGGCAGCCAGACATTACCTTCTGGCCGCCTCAAAAGAATACGATTTGTAAAAATCAACAACCATACGGCTATAATAGTTGAAAAGTACTTACTAAAGGGTTGCGATCGCCGCCACAGAGCGTTGTGACTTGCCCCGTAGAAAGTCCTATTTTTCGAATGGATGAGCTCTCCGAGTCCGCCACGAAAAGAAACGGATTCGAACCTTTATTGAAAGACAAAATTTATTAAATACATATTTCGAACACTAATACCAATTAGGAGCTCGATGGCGCAGGTAGCTAGCGCGTTCGGCTGCGGGCGTTGAAGTTAAGCAACTTTTGCAATGGTCGGTCATTGGATGGGTGACCAAAAATTTTGTATCTCGAGTTCCTCCGTGCTTCGGAAGGCACGTTAAGCTGTTGGTCCCGGGTGCATCTGCAGTCGTTAGCACCCGCCAATCCGCACTGGGCCCGCGTGGTGGGTCATGGCCCAATCTCCCTATTCCATCCATATTATATTCCATTAATAGGCTGATGATGAATACCAATTAGCCTAGCCAAAAACTAAGCACTGTATCTTGTGTTATGGGGTACCTACCTACTAAGGTAACTGATAGAAATGCCTAAAATCCTACTAATATTATAAATGTGAAAGTTTGTATGTTTGTTACTCAATCACACGAAAACTACTGAACGGATTTGGATGATATTTTTTTCGGTATACGATTGTGGAAATTAGCTACTTTCTCAATGGCTGGTTTAAAATATTGGTGACCACAATAATTTTATAGGCACGTTAAGCCGTTGGTCCTTGCTGCATCTGCAGTTGTTAGGAATAACCAATGCACACTTAGCCAGCATAGTGGTTCATGGCCAATTCTCCCTATTCCAGTTTTGGTTAATCCAAGTGATTAAGAGCTTGTCCGGCCAGTAAAATTAATATCGGCCTCAATTAATGTCTATGTTGCACTTAGCTGTGATCCAGTAGGGAGGCGGCAAGAAATAAGTCCAACACTCCAATTCACAGTATAACAGTTTATTGCACAAGCACACACAAGGAAAGTACAGAAGAAGTAATGTTCGGAAGAGATAGTAAAAGCGTACACAAACAATAACAATAAATAATAAGGTTTGCGAACTACAAGCAAGCGAACGCGGAGCGAAAACGAGGGTGCGTCTAGTGCCGATAAGGAATTTCGACTGGCGTACGTAACTACGGTGCGCGCCGGTCTGGAGGCCCCGCCTACAAGTTTGAATAGAAACAATAGAACGGCTTCAATGTGTGCATGTTTGTGGCAGGACCTACTACGTCGTCGTGTATGTTCTCTCAAAAATAACAGTACTTGTGCTGTATTATTATCCTCTACATTTATTTATTTTTTATTCCCAATATCAAATGTTAGAAAAAAAACAAGAGTTCTTGAACTTTAATATCGAACCTAACTTTTTTTTATGGATAGTAAATTTATTTGTATTCTTGTTAACCTAATAATAATGTTAACTCCATAATATTGCCTTAGTTCGATTTTTAGCCTCCCTTATTTCAGTTTGTACTACAAGTTTTCGTTGTTGTTTAACAACACACTTTTAAATTCGAATGTAATCAGCACTGTATGATAAGAATATACTACTGCCCATATTATGGCAAATACTAAGTAATAAATGCTATGTGAAGTGCTAACATAAAAACATAGCTATACTGGATACTTAGCAAACCCTAAGTAGAACTAAAACCCGATTTCAGCGCCACCTATCGAGTAGACTTCTAGTTTTCTTTAAATTTTATAATTTTCTGTGTATCATTTTTTTCCCCGTAAGAACCTTCTACAAAGTAAGAAGTACCTATATAAATTAAAAAAAAAGATAGTTGAAATCGCCAGTCGTTCTCAACAAAGAGAAACGGGGATTCATTTTCATATATGTAGATAAAAATCTCGTGCCACTGTGCGTTGTTGCTGTTGTTATCGAAATCCTCTAAAGCGACAATACCGATTTTTATCAAATGTTTTGTGTATATTTGGTAGGTCGGAGTATAGGTTGTAGGGTATGTTTTACATATTATATTAGTAGGATATAAGAGCGGCCATCAGTTTTTTTTTAATTTTTTGGACAGCAGTCTTTAATTTAATTTTTAATGATTTATTGTCAAAAAATTCTTAAAATACATTTTTTGCAGTCTTCTACTACCAACCCCTATTTATATGTCGCTACGAATTTCGTTGGATCACTTAGTTTTTATAACGAATATAGATTACTAGCTGTCCCAGCGAACTTCGTACCGCCATAAAAAAAATAGGGGTTGGTGGTAGAAGCGTGAAAATTTAGGGTTGTATGTATTTTTGTATGATGTACCACCCTCAACATTCAGGGGGACGGAAAATAGATGTTGTCCGATTCTCAGACCTACTGAATATGCATATAAAAATTCACGAAAATCGGTCGAACTGTTCAATTACGCACACCGTTACACGGGAATTTTATATATTAGAAGATAGATTATGTAGTTACCAGTCTTGAGAGTGAGTCCAGAGGGTTGAGCGAAGGAAGCGGTTTTGGGGAAACAACTGTTGCGCGCCGCTTCAGCACCCGAGCCGGTGATACAAGCGCAAGTTCCTACATACATACAGGTTTTTTATTAAAATACTCAAAAATGGGACTTTCCATAAAATCTGATGCCGATGTAGTTCCACGCAGTACCGCGCGATCATATCAACTTAGGCTTAGGTACAAAATGTCAGCTATTCATTTTTGTATTTTGTGTTATATGGTAATAAACACATTATCTAAAATTTCTTCAAAAGCTTTAAAATGCTAGATAACATTTACCGTAAGTGGGTTACTTTAGCTCGAGCGGGTAACTTTATCCCAAATCAGAAAAAATATTGAACTTGCCGCCCCACCAGTATCTCTTGGGTGACCGTAATAGTTGCAGTTGAAAATTACAGATAGCCATATAGGTGCGTAGTGTGGTGTTGTTTTACCGACATCGTTCCTGTTTCAAGTTGTCATTGTAACGTGGGATTTTTTTGTAACTGAAATAGTTCGCAAGTTCATGCGCAAAATTCTCAAAGCTGTGGTTTTCGGTAAGTTTACTATTTTTTCTAAATTTAAAGTTATATTTTTTATTTAGCTTAATTATTTTTGGGCAAAATCATCCATTTATGTATTCAGTATGCTAATGGTGATCTGTTTATAATTTTTTTCACAGAGAAAACTCAACGAGCTAAAGTAACCCTCTTTAATGCCAACTTTGGCCCAAAATTAAAAAAATATATATTAACCCTTAAATATTATTTTTTCCTATTTTCGTATGATAACTTTGTAACTTATACTTTAAAGTTCACAATGGCACGATATAAACGTGGCATATTCATCACAAAGAGAAGCTACAATTTTATTTGAAAAAAAATGTGCACATTTTAGGTCAAAGTAACCCGCAGTTACTCGGTATTTAATATTATCTAACATTTTTGGCGAGTTAAACTCGTATTGTGGGATAGAGGAGCTTATTCTTGATCTTTCCCAAATACACCAACCACGTATTCTTGCATATTTTTAACACACTTTTATTATATCGACTTGTAACGAACTATGTAATAAAATCTAAGAATCTGAATAACACGCACTTCTATTTCTTGTATCATCATGAAACTTGGCAATTATATTAAAATTAGATGACAATACAATATAATGGTACCATCGAGCTGGTTTGATGGACTGCCTACTAGTAAACATATGGAGTTTCGGCACATTAGATTCGTCTTAACATATTCTGTTCATTTTCTGATGACGAGGACCTGACGATGGACTGGAAGGTGGCTGATGGACCTTGGACTGCCAGTAGGCAGTCCAAGGTCCATCAGCCAGTAAGTTAACATACTGTTTACTAGTAGCAGGCAGACTGTAGTTTGGGCTCATTAGATTCGTCTTAATATATTCTTTTTAAAAACGCCTTGCAGTAATGAAGCCTTATCGGAAATGGAGAGGATGCGTATTCAGTCGCAATATACTTCCATGTTTTGTAATAAACTAAAAACAGAAAAATAAATTAATAGTTTCAAAAACTAAAGACGCTTTTATTTACTACACTAATAGCCAAAAGTAAACGAAATATACTCTTTCTTTACTTCATTAGGGCCTTAGAGTAAGCCATGTTTATAGTTAATTAACATATATATTTATAACTGAAAAAAGCGTAAGGCTCTATTCATTGCAATATTTTATCAAATCAATTGATATATTCCGTGATTTAATAATGCGCTTTTTTATTTTTGGCTTTTTAGTGCACTAAATAAAATCGTGTTTTTATACTGTAATAAAGTATGAAGACACAAACATTACAGTAATATTTGGTTAAACGCAGTATCATTTTTATCCTCCTGCGTAAACAAAACAATAACATAGTCGTTCCTATTTCGGGAAAAAAAATCTGTAGTTCAAAAGTATACAGATATACGCCGTGGACGTATATTTATAGCAATTAATGATAATTTTTCGAAGTAAGATAATGAGATAAATTATTCGTAAATAAATACCTTCAGGATATGTCTTGTACTTCCACCATATCGTAGTGTCGAGGAAAAGTGCCCATATTTGATGAGATCCCGCGCATGCTATTAACAACACCCGGCGCTTCTCGTCTTTTTTCTCCTTTTCTAAAAGGAACATCATCATTTATTCATTATGAATGATATTCACTTAAACCGAAAAAAAAACATTCATAATAATAAAATTAGTTACAGTCTCACTACCGAAAATAACATTTTAAACAGCAATAGCAAGAAATGCATTTTAAGTAATTTAGTCACACGAATCAATGTTTGTTTGTTTGGTTGAACGCGCTAATCTCGAGAACTACTAGTTCGATTTGAAAAAATTTTTTTGTGTTGAATAGTGCATATATCGAAAAACGCTAGAGGCTATATAATATCGCGCTACGACCAGTAGGAACGGAGCATCGATAAAAAATGCTGCGAAAACTGGAAAGCCGTATTCCATTTGTGTGTTTCCGTTGCGTGCGCTACGTAAACGGTTAAAGTTACACAAAAATCATGTGTGGCGGAATTGTTCCCCTTTAAAAGTTTTATAATAAAAGTCCGCGACCCCATATGTCCATCTTTTAAGTTTGACTCACCATACCTTTTTCCTCAAATTAATCACATTCATCGACTGTTAGGAGACACGAAATTCGCTAGGTCAGCTAGTCAGTTATATAGAGGGTTCTTAATATTTGAGTTGTTCAAACGGTCGGATTAATTAAAAATTTCGGTCGTGGCATATGACACATCAGTACATACTATAGAAAAACTATATTTTTTCTTTTTAAACCTCTTTTGTTCCGTACCTCAAAAGGAAAAAACGGAACCCTTATACGATCACTTTGATGTCCGTCCGTACGTCCGTCTGTCAAGGCCGTTTTTCTCAAGGACGGATGGAGGTATCAAACTGAAATTCATATCTAATACTCATGTATACTGTCCCTTGGAGCTGTGAAAAAATCAAACTTCTAAGCCAAAGCAATCAAAAGATATACCTAGCCGTTTATGCCGCAAATTTTCGAAACACGCACGGGAATCAAAATCTACAGAATACTTCCCGTGAACTTAGAATCTTGAAATTTTTAGTAACATCATATGATAAGAAATATTTTTGAAAATTTTAGTTACCTCTTATCTCATGAACGCGCAGAGGTATTAAATTGAGTTTGTACGGAACCCTCGGTGCGCGTGTTCAACTCGCACTTGGCCAGCGCACTTTTTTTTAATTTTAATTGAACATCTAGTAGTTAAATGCTTAGAATAAAATATTATAATACCCTTTATTGTATCAAATAGTTCAAAACAGAAACTGAAATATATATATAGTAAGCAAAAGTTGTCTTTGGGCTTGTCGTTGGAGTTGTTGTTGGGCTTGTCTCTGAAAAGGAACTAAAAAGATTAACACTTATATAATTTTAGTTCCTTGCTGAAATTTTTATTTACGTTTGTTTAATTAACTTACCTTTTGGTTCAGTCTTCTTGTCCTTCTCCGGGTCTGGGGTTTGTCCGGGGGGCGGGGGCGGGGGCGGCAGGGGGGGCGCTCGCACCGACATGTCCAGGTCCGGCGTAGTGTACTGCACCACGTCCCAGGGGGAGGACAGCGCTTGTAGCCCGAGGTATTTACCGCCTGCGACACAAACGATGGTCAACCTTAACGCGATCGTCATAGAGCCTATTATGTACATGTCCAGGTCCGGCGTAATGTACTGCACCACGTCCCAGGGGGAGGACAGCGCTTGTAGCCCGAGGTATTTACCGCCTGCGACACAAACGATGGTCAACCTTAACGCGATCGTCATAGAGCCTATTATGTACATGTCTAGGTCCGGCGTAATGTACTGCACCACGTCCCAGGGGGAGGACAGCGCTTGTAGCCCGAGGTATTTACCGCCTGCGACACAAACGATGGTCAACCTTAACGCGATCGTCATAGAGCCTATTATGTACATGTCCAGGTCCGGCGTAGTGTACTGCACCACGTCCCAGGGGGAGGACAGCGCTTGTAGCCCGAGGTATTTACCGCCTGCGACACAAACGATGGTCAACCTTAACGCGATCGTCATAGAGCCTATTATGAACATGTCCAGGTCCGGCGTAGTGTACTGCACCACGTCCCAGGGGGAGGACAGCGCTTGTAGCCCGAGGTATTTACCGCCTGCGACACAAACGATGGTCAACCTTAACGCGATCGTCATAGAGCCTATTATGTACATGTCCCGGTCCGGCGTAGTGTACTGCACCACGTCCCAGGGGGAGGACAGCGCTTGTAGCCCGAGGTATTTACCGCCTGCGACACAAACGATAGTCAACCTTAACGCGATCGTCATAGAGCCTATTATGTACATGTCCAGGTCCGGCGTAGTGTACTGCACCACGTCCCAGGGGGAGGACAGCGCTTGTAGCCCGAGGTATTTACCGCCTGCGACACAAACGATGGTCAACCTTAACGCGATCGTCATAGAGCCTATTATGTACATGTCCAGGTCCGGCGTAGTGTACTGCACCACGTCCCAGGGGGAGGACAGCGCTTGTAGCCCGAGGTATTTACCGCCTGCGACACAAACGATGGTCAACCTTAATGCGATCGTCATAGAGCCTATTATGTACATGTCCAGGTCCGGCGTAGTGTACTGCACCACGTCCCAGGGCGAGGACAGCGCTTGTAGCCCGAGGTATTTACCGCCTGCGACACAAACGATGGTCGACCTTAATGCGATCGTGATAGAGCCTATTATGTACATGTCCAGGTCCGGCGTAGCGTACTGCACCACGTCCCAGGGGGAGGACAGCGCTTGTAGCCCGAGGTATTTATCGCCTGCTACACAAACGATGGTCGACCTTAACGCGATCGTCATAGAACCTATTATGTACATGTCCAGGTCCGGCGTTGCGTACTGCACCACGTCCCAGGGGGAGGACAGCGCTTGTAGCCCGAGGTATTTACCGCCTGCGACACAAACGATGGTCGACCTTAACATGATCGTCATAGAGGCTGTAACGCCATTAGGCTTAATTAGTATCATTTGCATGCTTGCATGCAAATGCTTGAAAATATCTAAGTTAAGCCTTTGATCCCGGCTGCATCTACAGTCGATAGCACCATACACACCCACACTATTGATCAGTGGTAGTTCATGCTTTATTCTTCATATTCCATCCATTACAAAGTGGGGACATTAATAGGCTGATGACTTGGCCTGATAATGACGATTACATTTGTACCAAACCAAATTCTAAAATGAAAGTTGTACATCAACAAAAGATCTATTTCTGGTTGGTTGGTTCATGGTTCATTCTCTCTATTCCATCCATAGGCAAGATCTATGACCCTAAGTGGGGACACTAACAGGCTTGATGATGAGTTTGTTTGAGACCAAGATATCGGCAAACACTAGTGCGCTATATTGTTTTAAACTTTCATGGTCACTAACATTATAGTAATATAAGTTATTTACGGGATTGTTACCATGTACCTTGTTTTTAGCGAGTTTCCGATATTTCGGCACTGTTGCAAGCGCCATGATCACGGAGTAACTGAAGTAATTGCGGGTAGGCTGTTATTGGCAGACATATCGGTCTACCCTCCGACGAAGTCTTTTATTGCGTTCGATACCCGTACCACTGTTCACATTCTCACTATTCACTCGAAACTGTTCTCGACACACAACACTTACAGTATGATGTTGTCAGAAATCTGCCATCGCGGAACATTTGATTGATTCTGGTCCTAACCAGTGGATTGAGTTTCATAACCCACAGATTAGCCACCCACAGACAGACAGAACGCCACTTCATACCAAGATTGGCCAGGGAAGCGATTGAAATAACAAAACATAAAAATCCTGTGGTTCGTGTGTGTAAAACCGGAAATAATCAAAAAAGTTTCGTGTCGCGATCCGATACTGTAAGTGTTGTGTGTCGAGAACAGTTTCGAGTGAATAGTGAGAATGTGAACAGTGGTACGGGTATCGAACGCAATAAAAGACTTCGTCGGAGGGTAGACCGATATGTCTGCCAATAACAGCCTACCCGCAATTACTTCAGTTACTCCGTGATCATGGCGCTTGCAACAGTGCCGAAATATCGGAAACTCGCTAAAAACAAGGTACATGGTAACAATCCCGTAAATAACTGATATTACTATAATAGTGCGCTAGATCCCATTTTAAAAGTAGTTTAAAATATTTTTCTTTGGTTATGTGATGAATAAATTTTACCTGGAATAGTCCAAAATCTATCCTTCCCTTACTTAATACACTCAACTTGCTCAACCTAATGTAAACTCACCCATATCTCCACAGGCGGACTGCTCGCCGGTTCCTACGAGTACCTCGACGGTACCTTCGTCGAGGTGTACGGCTCTGAGCGCATGGTTGTTGGTATCGCAAACAGCCAGTACTGTGCTAGAAAGCCAACACAATCCTTGAGGAGAGTTGAACAACGCTTCCTCTAACTCTGAAAAAAGAAACACACTTATGGCCCAAAGTTCTGAAATCAAATTTTAAAGCTAATCGCATCATATTTTAACCTCATCTTATCTCTATTTGCATTAAAACAATAGTATTTACAATGTACTTCTATTACTTTTATTTAACGATAAAAACACTTACTACGTTTTATATTGTGTTTCAGAGAATTATAACAATAGTACAGGCAGTCCTCGAGTTACGTCGTTTCAAGTTACGTCGAACAATTTTTGACACTATTCCTCAAGCATACGTCAATTGTTTCGACTTCCGGCATAGGAGAATTCACTTGTCGCGAGGACAATGTCCATGGGGCCGGCGCCTGTGGTAATGTCTCGACTTACGTCGTTTCGATTCACGTCGCGTATTTCGAGAACCTAACATGACGTAAGTACGAGAACTGCCTGTATTACCATGATTTTATGTCTACGCTCGTTTTCATTCTGCCATCCATGGAATCGAAACAAAAGGAAACCAAATTCTTTATTTTAAATAAATATCTTGTCTTAAATATGAATGCCATCCGTAGGCAATAGAGCAAGCAAAGAAGAGATGGCGCTGCCTTGCAGCCTTAGAAATGCTAGAGAAAATTCAACACGGACAATTAGGGCCGCGGTAGAATAATGATCAGTGCATCTGCCCGGATAGCTGAGGGTTCGAGTCTGGTCTGCTGCCTGGTCCGCGTGGATTTTTTTCTAGTCAAATTTTGTTTGGATTTAAACGCTTAATAAATCAAAAATATAAATATAAAAAATATTTCAATAAAGTGGAAACCACATCAAAATGCGCTGCGTAGTAAAGCTTGGCACTGACTGACGCGATAAACGAACCCATTTAATGCTATGAACTACAATATACAGCACCAGGCCATTTATAAGTCGCATTGTGCTTTAGAAAGAGATACTCGGCTAGCTTCGGCTTCGTATAGCGCCGTCTCTGTCACCCTTGTCAACCTGACTGAATACGACTTTCAGTCAGTAGTAGTAGTTGTCAGTCGTAGTTCAACATCGTTAAAGAGCAGTCGCGTTCTTCTTGAAATATATATACAGAGTTGCTAAATCCCCTAACTAAAAATTATTCATGGAATATGAAATATAAAGTAGGAAAACTTTGTACGGACAGTCTCGCGAAATTGTTTACCGTTATATAAATATTGCGTGAAAGAAAGTGAAAAATTAAGGATGATGATGGCAGTAATAGGCTAGTTGACCCTTTTTGGAATAAGGTTTTAAATGGTTAATAAATGTTCTATTAGACCGAAAAAAAAATGTATTGTATTTTTTGAAAGCTACAAATCTTTAATTTTAAAATAGAATTTTCATGGCTCAAAAACGCTGTCGGCCATTTTAGTCTATAGATTGTCTATGCTATGATGTCAACTGTAGTAAACAAAAACTCGTAAGCACGTAGAAAATAACTTATCTGAGTTTATAATAAAAAGAACATGATTTCTAATAAATACCACGAAAAATAAAGTAATTATCATTATTGTATTGTACGAGAATATAAAAAACACATCCTTGAAGACTCCAGGAATGTTGTGGATTAAAGTGCCGAAAGAAATTAACCTACGCAACTTTATTACACTTAATTCGTATGTAGTATCAGTAATATGTTTATTACTACATTGTAATACTAAATGCACTTTACTTACATAGATGCCTTGTCGTTTCTCTGCTCCGCAGAGCAGAAATCGGGGTTCAGTGCAAAAAATTCACCAACCATCAATGCGTCAATTCTTGGCAGATTTGTGCTTTCTGCTTTCACAAAGCCGGCATCCATAATTAGTTTTGTCAAAAAAAAACAGTAAACGGAAACTTTTCTAAAGTTAAAAGTGTTTTAAGAAAAATTTATTCAGACTAAAGAATCCACCCATAACAACACGCGAATGACATTTAGTTGTTTACTGAAAGAGACGTCACAATCATGGCGGATGTAGCGAACAGCGTTTTTAGTGTTTAAAAAATATAGACTAAAAAATATTTTTTTAAATTAAATTTCTACAGCAATCTTCTGCTTTTATGAAGTGAAATCGATATATTTAGGTTCCTTAGACCAAATACTGTAAGAAATAAACATTTATTTAATACAATTCGACATGAGTCAACTAGCCTATTTTTTATGAAGATTCAAGAGCGAGTTTCGAGTGCTACTGGAATTTCAAGAAAAACTGTCAGAAATATATTAAATGAAGGTGATATTAATGTACCATCCACTTCATTTAAGTTTAGTTCTCCCAAAAAAGGGCGACCAAAAAAGCAACACCGTTTGGATTTGGATGATTTTGATTATGATGTTGTTCAAAGAATGGTGTATAAGTAATACATTACACTTCACTCAAAATTTCATGAATTGCCTACAATTAAAGCGTTGAAAATCGTATTATCCGAGGCTACTAACTATAATGTATCTGAAAAGACGTTCAGAAAAATTCGTCTTGTCATTCAAACCAATATCTGTTAAGTGCACTGTTTTGAGATTTCGACATTGTCATCATTATGACAAGAAAATAGGTTGTTTAAAAAATATGCTATGTGCATCGGCCATAATATGAACTGCTATTTCTTAAAGTTATATTTTTCCACATAGCAGATATTGATTTGACAACGACCATATACTCACTGCCATCTTTGAAGCCAGGCCGACAATCCGTGCTGCCGACAATTCTTAAAATAACTCCAGAGCAATCCGTAAGCACCAGTCTGTGATTTCCAGTATCTGATATAGCCAAGAACGGCTCATCTGTTCTTCCCCGATAGAACGGGTTTAGGGCGACCTGAAAAAAAAAACTTTTTATTTAATAGACATTTTATCCATTTACATTGGACATTCGACTATTAAACACTTAGGCTGCCTGTCCACTAGAGCGGAGCGAGACTGCGCAGGGCGTGTTTTTAAAGACAAAAAACCCTTCAACTTGGAAATTAAGCGTAGTGGCGCCATCTGTTGTCGAGTATTTGAACTTCAAGAAGTGGTGAGAAAGTAGAATACCACTGATCTCTTCTAAATTGCCATTTTAATTTAAAAGATTGCAGTTTCCAATTAAATTAGCCTTTAGTTTTACAATTAACAAAACGCAAGGGCAAACTTTAAAATATTGTGACATCAACCTCAAAGAATCCTGCTTCTCTCGCGGTAAACTATATGTAGCTTGCTCAAGAGTAGGAAATTCGAAAAAAATATATATGTATATACCCAGGACAATAAAATGAAAAATGTTGTTTATGAACAAGTAGTGTAAATAATGTTTTCAACAGTTTTTTAACTTTTTACGTCATATTTTATATTTTTATTTCAACTACCACGTAATCTCATATCAACTCCCAAGCGAAGCCGGGTATCATAGCTAGTAGTAGACTAAAAGCGTTGGGTTTGAACTGTTCCAATCATTCTAACGGTTTTATATATCATCATATAACAAGTAAGTATTGGCAGTGTAAATCCATGATATCTTTGTAAACATTACTTTTTATTGAATATTGTGGTTGTCGAGATATTTAGCTTGTTTCACTCGCATGTAGTAAAAATAAAATTACGATTCAAAAAGTTGTGTTATAAATCCAATATTTTAAGTTGACTTCAATTAATTCGATTATCAAATTGGCGTCTCATCTCATTCTATTGCCATCGCATCGCAATAATATTATTCAAAATAAATGTGTGTATGGGGAAACTGGCTTTGGGCTGATAACCAACTAATTTGTATACAATTGACAACTTAAAAATAAGATTCGAACGTAAGCATCTCTCACCTTGCCGGGAAATGAAAGAGCTGCTTCATCTTTAACTTTCACATGTTTTGATATTGAGACAGGGAGAGACGCGTCAGATATACGAGAGCTGAAGTGTTTCAGCGCCGCCTCCACATACCAAACTAACTCCTGCCTGTGACCCTCTCCAGTCAACACGAACAAAGGCTTGTTGTTTGGCCCTGGTAAACAATAAGCATAATTTTTAAATCACATTATAGTTGATTCGTATTCGTATTATGAACATTTTTTTCAACATTAAAGAACCACATTAAATAGTAGTTTAAAGAAAACTTTCATTAGAAAACAATATCATAAACAAAATTAATAATATAATTTCAAATGAAATACTTTTGCAAGTATCAAACTTGCGAAAGAAGAAAAGCAATGTAGTTATTCAAAGATGGTCACAAAGTGGCTTTGTAGATCCCATCCATCACACTCGATGCTTACCCAGTATAAGAAGTGTTGGCCAACATTTTATACCCAGTGCTTCCCATTGAGTGCTATCTGGGTCATTTACAACTGGATGGTGAATATCATACCTCTGGACAGCTGCCAAAACATTTGCACACTCTTTTTCATTTGTAAATTTTGCACAGTGAACACCAATCTGAAATATAAAGTGAAAAAAGTGTATTAATCACACTAATAATAAAAACGCGAAAGTTTGCGAGTGTGTATGTTTGTTACTTCTTCACGTCTAAACGGCTGGAGCGATTTTAATAAAATTTGGTATGGAGTTAGCTGACACCCTGGATTAACACAGGGTATGTTTTACTGCGGGAAAATATCCCTAATAAATCGCAGTTAACAACGCGGGGCACAGCTAGTATTACATATTATTAGTGTTGTTTCACTTGTGAGGTGCTCGATGGTAAAACTGTACTTTCTGGGCCCAAGAATTGACATTTCACTTATTTTTGGTGAAAAGGTCTCTGTTAATGAAGTCTCTAAGAAAAAAAAACCTTAAAAATTATTTTCTGAGTAAAATTACCTATTTTCTGTTTTTAGGGAAGACAAAACGAACAAAGCGTATACATCTATTATATTTATTTTATGATCTATTTCAAGTCAAGATTGCCATACAGCTATCGAGAATTCTTGGCACCCAACGATTTTCAGGGTTTAGAGGGGAGGGAGAAGCTTAGATTAAAACAAAAAGTGTAGATACGGCACTAACCTCACAAAAGTGATCCGCACCAATTGTGGTCCACGACCCTAATCGCTTTAGTCACAACTTAACATGAAAACGACGTACATGTGAACGCCAAAAAGAAATATTGCTAATATTTTGTGTTTATATGATAAAACAATAAATAAATAAATAAATATTTCCAACACTCACACCAATTAGCCTAGCCCCAAAGTAAGCACTATAAGGCTTGTGTTATGGGATACTAGGGTAACGGATAGAATACATATATTGTACTTATATAAGTATATTTATATAGAAAATACATATTAAACATCCATGACTGGAGTACAAATGCTCGTATTCATCACACAACATCTGCCCCCACCGGGATTTGAACCCAGGACCTCTCGAGTCGGCGACACCATGAAACCCGGCGTACAAACCACTCGGCCACGGAGGTCGTCTAACAATGCCTAAGTGTTTTTAAAAAGTGCTCAAATTGCTCAAGAACTAAAAATAAAACCCATGGCATCACTTTTCATTCGTAAGTAGGAACTATAAAATATATTTTTTCATAAAAATTGCTGTTTGTTTTAAATTTTATTCGGTAGTGACGTCGAGTACTGGTCGCGTGATTGGTCGGTAGTGCAGTGACACGGATCTCGCCGTCTCGTTCGCGCTGCCGTTGAAACTTAACGTGCTGTTTCGTTCGGGTCGGTAATGCAGTGACGCGGATCTCGCCGTCCCGGCGCGCTGCCGTGGGATCACTTTTTGTTTGATGCAAGTATGAGCGTACCGTATCTACCCTTTTTGTTTTAATCTAAGGGGAGAAGAGGGAGAAGGATGAATATATGAATATATATATGTCTTTGAAGTTGTCTTCCATTTTTTATTTTATTATACAGTCACTGGTGTCGATTCTAGCATGATTCTCTAAACCTAAACTTAAATTTGACAGCAGTATATCCTTGTCATTCTCTATGCAGAATGAAAAAGAGAGACTGATGTTAAATTTAGTTTTAAGATTAGAGAATCACGCCAGAATTGGCACCACTTTTGCCTTATCTCCGGCGCTATAGGACTAGCAGCCCATTCGCCCTTGAGTAACAAAGACCACATGCACTCTCGTTTCCCTCCGCAGTTTCAGCTTATTGCTCGCTGCCGAACGGGTCATGAGTGCCTGTGCCTGTGGCTTTGTTACAGCGGGCAGGGGCTGCTCCCGGTCCGCGCCATCGGAATCGGGTTATAGATGTCAGGGCTTGTTTATCGGTTAATTTTCAAACCTATATCAGTATCAAGTACATTAGGAGCGTTTTATTTAGGTTTGGCTCTACCTTAACCTTAAAAAAACCGGTTTTCCTAAAAAACGAAATCAAATAGGTTTTTAATCAATTTAGCGGTTTTTGAAGTTATACTTCTTTAGGCGCGTTATGAAAAAATGATGAGAGTGAAATTTTAAGATGCGCGCGCATCACTGTAACACAAAAACTTTTGTGTTTACCGCACATTAAGAAAATCTACCAACAAAATAGAAATAGAATCTCTATTTAGTAGGTGCTAACGACCGCATTGTGAAGGCCTATCAAAAGTATTTATTAATCTGGAACAACGGAACCAAAGCGCGATTCAGGAGACTACAGCGCCATCTCTTGACCATTGGTGTAGTAGAACCAAAAACCACATCTTTATTTTTTGTAATAAAGTAACAGTTATAGGTGGTATTCATATTTATAATATCAAAAGTATTTATTAATCTGGAACAACGGAACCAAAGCGCGATTCAGGAGACTACAGCGCCATCTCTTGACCATTGGTGTAGTAGAACCAAAAACCACATCTTTATTTTTTTGTAATAAAGTAACAGTTATAGGTATTCATATTTATAATATTTATCCACATGTTTCTAGTTTGTATATTCGGAATACGTGTTTGAGTTTCATACAAGTGCAAATCACATATGTTCTAATAAATTATATTCAGTAGCGATTTTAATTGAATACCTATTTTGATTATTTATTTATTTTTTCAAATTAAAACTGAACTTTATTGACTGTGTCCTTTTCCAGACTTTTTATTAATTTATTGTAATTAATTATTTGCATGCAATTAAAAACTAATTTTAAACGATGCCAAAGAAGGATAACTTCTCACGCGCCTACATAAGTACACGCACCCATTTATTAAAGGGTTTCATTTCGCTCTTACTGACGGCATCGCCATCGCCGTTTCAATTCAAATTTATAATTATTATATGTCAGTTTCTTTCCAACTACAGAGTGAGTGAGTGAAGTAGTGTGTCAGTACACAACTACAAAATGAATAACTTGACTCGCTAGACGCTAGCGAACGTGTCAATAAATGCATCAATCTCTGAGCATTAACAAGTTGTGTCTTGATTAGTTCAAACAAAACAAACTTCAAGCGATGCCGACGCGTGCATGTGTCGCTCTGGATTAAACCGGTTTATTAAGGTTTTAGGTACCGCTTTCATTTCCGACGCGCTCCGAAAGAAACCTTTACTAAAAACCGGTATTAACCTGCCCTGATAAATGTAAAGGCGGTTGTTATCGTTTTCAGTCAGTCGATAACAACCGCTTTTTTCGCTAAATAACCCATTAACAGCGGTTGTTTACGGTTGAAAATATTTCATTGTTTTATGTTCTAAATGATTCTCAAACTCAAACTCATTTATTCAGTCTAGGCTGTTACAAGCTCTTGTGAAAGTCAAACGCTACGCCATCAGTTCGTAAATCTACGGCGGAAGACCTTGTACTGAGAAGAACCGGCAAGAAACCCAGCAAGGGCTATTTTTTTCTCTCTGTTTTATTTCCTACAGTGTCGTCAAACGAAAGATGACATCAAAATTTTAAAACATGTGTTGATGTCAACTTCCATCACATTAATATTATTAATTAACAAAAGTTAAGTATAGCTAGGTACTATTTTTAAATTTAGAAGTGGCAATTAAACAATTTTCAACCAAATCAGCAAAGTAAAACGACTTAGCCTATTATATTAAGCCCAAGGTGACTTATCATTTATGAAATCTTTAACATTATAGTAACCTTTCTTAAGGAGACATGTTTTTTATACACACTTTAAACTTATTAAAAGGTAAATTAATTATTTCTTTTGGTATTTTATTATAGTAACATATACCTTGACCCACAAATGACGCACGCATCTGCAGATGCGTCCACCGACGACGTGTAGACGGGGTAGTTTGCGCGTCTCTGGTAGGTATTTGACGTCCGCAGATGCGTCTGCCATCAATCCGATAGTTTTCGGTTTTTGTGGCACGCAACAAAGGGATTCAGGCGGACGTTCGGCGTGCCTGTCCACACGTCGGCGGACGCATCAGTAGTACGAGAGTTGCAAATGAGCGTGGATGTGAGTTTCCAATTATTTTCGCTTTTTTTTACTCTCCTTCGCCGTAATGGCTAATATTATGAGTATTATCGAAACATTTAAATTCCTTGAGTAGTAATCAAGCAGAAAACGACCTGTGGAATCCGAAAAATAGCCAGTAGGCACAAACTTCTTCTTTTCTATTTCTCTTTAATATAATTATTCTGCAATGCACCTCTAGTAGTAGTTAAAAGTACCAAATTAATAAATAATTGCGGTAGCAAATAATCAAACATTTATTTTTTTAATGTTGTGTGCGTACGAGTTGCGTCTGTCGCGAACGAACACAGACTGAATGACCTTCGGACGTCGTCAGACGTGTGGTGGTCTCCTAGTGGTGATCCATCTGTTGATGCATCTGGATACGCCCGCGGTCGCACCCGCCGACGTGTAGAGGAGGCAACAGACAGACGCGGCCTAATGCCACGGCCGAGGTGGAGGCTAGTTGTATTCGCTTACAATGTAAGCGAGTGGTCAAACACGAGCGACCAATAAAATAAGTGTCTGTAAGTCACTTAAAAGCGGCTCATATTTGAGCTCCCAAGTCATAGGCGTATTTTCCCTTTTTGATTTAATCTAAACACTTTTCTTTTTTATAGTTGCGTCGAGGTTATTTTGCAATACATATATAACTTGAATTTAATGTTTCATCTTACTCAGGCTCATATAATAGGGACTAAGAACACGAAACACAAAATGGACGTGGTAGGAACACATGTAACAGTTTTGAAACGCTTGATGAGTAAGGTAAAGACAAAAAACGCGTTTTTATCCATTTAAAAATAATTACGCAGCGATTTCGGTATACCTACAGATTAAATACCAGAAATAAGTAGGTAGGTACTTTCGTTTATTATCTGTCGTGTTGAAGGACATTGCATAATAATTCATACACATCTAGGTATTAATTTTTTTAAATAATTTTACCAATATTGCAATAAAGTGAAAACATACATTTTTACTCACGCTCAGCGATCCTATAATGTAAATGATCATAATAATTTCATGTTTTTACATTTTGAACAACACAAATGGCAAGTCATATGGCAAATATGTACACTATACTTATATTATTATTGGTATGATATAACATTTCTTAATGACAATAACAATAAAACAATTATTTAAATGAATTTACTTATTCCTTTGGATAATCTTTATCATCCTCAAAGGGCTGGGCTGTGTTGAAGTTAAAAATGCTATTATATTCAATTGTTTTAAAACTTCAAAAGCCTTTCGACAGCTTAATATAAGTTAGACCATGATTTAACATAGTTTTATAAAATTTAAATTCTGCACCCTAAATTAATGATTTGATAAAGGACAATGGGCAAAACGCACCCATCTCCGCCAACAATGTAATTAGTATGGATCGATAGATCTGTGAAAAACTAGCTTTTTTTATTATGGCACCAAAAAAAAATATCCTGGGAGTCAAAAGATATACACGTGGGCATCTTCTATGTTAGGGGTTAAGGTTTCCGCACATAGTCCTTAAAGAGGACCATTGTGTGTAAGTCATAGGGACCGGTTACACACGGGCATATTTTAATATCTAAAGAAATTCATTCAATATCAACAGTACTTTCGTTTTATAATATTACCCATAATAATATGAGTCATATCTTACTGTACAACTAGATACAAAATACTATACAACAAAGCCTACCGACCATCCTGCTTGCTTGCTGCTTGCACTTACTGAGACGCCTCAAAACGTTTAACAGGGTATAGGGGTTGAAGGATGTGATATTGCAGTTGCCGTTGCAACTAGTCTACTCGTATGCAGTTCTATGTCTTACTTTTTGTGCGTTATTTCATTGATATTTAACTAACCCACTTTAGAAATAGGAACACGATTATCGTCGCGTGCGTCATTATAATCGTACGAGCCAATACAAAATCTATGGATCAATTTAAATGCTCGTTCTTTTACTTGACATTGGCTGAATGAAAAAAACCGTGCTTGCCACAAAAATAAAGAAAGTGCTCGTTCGATTACTGCGCGCCATAAAATTCATACGAAAAACCCCACGTCATACTGGCGCCAACTAATGACGTGCATTTTTCTAAACACTCATTGGTTTTGATAAACTGGAATCATGTTTTCTCCGAAGAATCGACAAGTTTGTGTGATTTGTGGACGCTCCGTTTTACGTAGAAGACGATTAACTATAACGAACAGACATACATTATTAATAACATTGTACCAAACTAAGTACGAGGACATAACATCACATTATCATTATACTTAATAAAGTTCTTTATATTTTATTTTATCTAGTATACTTTTTTAATATTATTTAGCGTGTGATAGACTAAGTAACCTAAGACAGTCGTTTACTTCAATCATTATAGTAAGGATGCTTATTGAGTTAAAAGTCCCGATACAAATCATGGTCAGGACAATGCTTGTTTATGTGTATTGTGTAGAACAAGGCCTTAAGCAACCGAAAAACTGAACTTCCAACTAAGTAGGTAGTTGGATTTTTTCTTCTAAGATAGCTATTTAAACAGTGTAACCTTAAATTAACGCTACTCGATTAAAAAGACTAGTTCCCGATAACGTCGAAATTACTTGACTCTGGTTGGTTTACCTTATTGTCCATACAATGACATACTATGGATGAAGATAATTAAAAATATTCGATATGAAATAATGTTTCATAATTAATCCCCCTTTTTTTACACTTACCAATTAGCCTAGCCCCGGAGTAAGCACTGTAAGGCGTGTGTTATGGGATGCTAGGGTAACGGATAGAATACATATGTAGTACATTTATAAGTATATTGATATAGAAATACAAATTAAACATCTATGACTGGAGTACAAATGCTCGTACTCAGCACACAAACATCTGCCCCCAACAGGATTTGAACCAGGGACCTCTCGAGTCGACGACACCATGAAACCCGGCGTACAAACCACTCGACCACGGAGGTCGTCAATTAATATATCCGTCCTATATAATCGTCCTTGTATCTTTAAATATTATGTTCGTTATAGTTACTTTTACCTATGGAATTGTACCTATTTAACTTAAAATAACTAAAGACCGGGATGGAATTTGATGCGCTTTGGCACAGATGATCATGACTATAATACCTTTCAAACAAATGTAGTTAAAGCCGTGGCGGATGTGGGTGCAGTGTCCTGTAATTTTGCCCATTGTCCTTTAATGACTAAATGCGCGTTTGTAATGACAATGAAGAACAATAATTATTTCTTTCAAATTTTAATGTAGAACTAATTTCGAATTTAGAATATAAAACTTTATGAGCACCCAAACATCAAAACAGCCATTATAGCATGTAAGAGATTATACTGTAAGAATTTTTTTCTTTTTCTAAATTACTGCCAGTGCGAAAGTGTGGACATTTTGTTTAATAATCTGGTTAACAGAAACCCTTTCAACAAAAAAAAATATATCCGAATAGTATGTTATCTAAAAGTCACTCACATAAATTTTCACTGAATATTCATATAAATAATAGAAATCTGGAAAAAACTATAGCATGGGAACATGGGAATCTGGCAAAAACACAGCTATGACAGGTCACTAGTTTCCGATACCATCTCAAAAAAATAATGACTGAAAAAATTATAACTGGTTCAAGTACTCACCACCACAAGACCACTTTCCACTTTGTGGAGTTTCTCTATATGAGCTAGATCTGGTAAGACATGGTAGCAATTAATGCAACAGTATGTCCAAAAGTCTAAGACCACTATTTTATCTGTACAATGCTGGGACAAAAATATAGGTGCTGAAACGTTCACCCATTCAAGATCTGAAAAAAAAATGCGATAGAAGAAAACCTTATTTAAGTGTAGGGAAATCTAAAAATTACAAATTAATTTGAAAAGATTTCAATTTATAATTTCGGATGAAATAATACTTTTTCTGAAATCTTCAATAGGAGTCACCATGGACCAAACTTTCTTAATATGATTATTTATAAGAGACTCTCTATCGGCCTCATTGTTTGCTGATGATAAAGTCTCTGTTAAATCCATACAAGCTTGAGCAACATAATCTAATGCACTTGACTCCATTTTGATGATTCTTGATTTTGTGTAGTATGTTATCTTTGAAAGTAATCTATTATAAAGTAGGGAATATTATCAATCTGTCTTGAAAAGTGTACATAAACTGGAAAACAAAACAAAATTTTAAGAATTTCATTTGGTTACTGGTTGTTGTGATTTTGGATTTAGATTTTTGTGTTTGACAGTGACTTGACTTTTTTTTAAATTTATTCTGGCCTTGAATACTTCGTTCTTTAGCCGAAATCATTTATACAAATATAACATGAATGTTATTAAAACAGAAATAGGAGTACAAAATATTAAAATTACTAAGTCAATGCTACTTACACAATTACATGCATTAAATATCATATATATAAACCAAAAAAAAAGTAAACAAAACGCAACTCAACCGTCAATAAAAATTAATAAATATCATCATTTGTAAAATGTAAACTGTTAACTTGGATAATTGTGTAACTGTTTAATAATTTTTTCATGAAACTTTATATAAATGAACACCGATTACAATACGTAAAGATTTCTGATCCGATTTAAGTGATTGTTTTTTTGTTCGATAATGGTGTCACTGGCATGATAGGCTAGTTGACCCTTTTTGGAAAAAGGTTTTAAATGGATAATAAATGTTCTATTAGACCGAAAAAAATGTATTGTATTTTTTTGAGACCTAGAAAGCTACAAATCTTTGATTTAAAAATAGACTTTTTATGGACATAAAAAACGCTGTCGGCCATTTTAGTCTATAGATTATCTATGCTATGACGTCAACCGGTAGTAAACAAAAACTTGTAAGCACGTAGAAATTAACTTAACTGAGTTTATAATAAAAAAACATGATTTCTAATAAATACCATGAAAAATATAGTAATTATCATTATTGTATTGTACGAGAATATAAAAACACATCCTTGAAGACTCCAGGAAAGTTGTGGA